TCTCCCACAAATGTGACTAATATTTAAGTACCTCATAGTTAATAAGTATGTTGTATCATTTTGTGGAGAAATAAATAATTTTATATTTAGGAAATGAAACTATATTTTGGATCTAAAATAGCGAATATTTATTTTTTGAAACAAATTAACTTGTAACCCGTGCAATGGGACCTGTAAAGGGACCAGTAAAGAACTCGATATGATTTTGTATGTATTTAAATTGTAAATATTGTATAAAAATCAGTAATGGCACGGCTGCAGCTCCACAATGACGCCACTGCAGTACTTCTATAAGCGTCTAATTTGAACGCGCCTTTAAAATCAACTCATCATAAAATTCAATCCAAAGTTGAAGTGCTCGTGACTGGACATAGCACATGCATTAATACAGGTTTATCGTTATTTACAGGTAAAGTGAACTCAATATTTGGATTATCAGAAAACATGATGCCCTTAATATTCGTCCCGTTGTACACGAATGTATATAAAGCCACCATGGAGGTCTTCCCAGGAGCTGTGTTCCTAATGGGAGCTTCCTTGGTCCTACCTGTTCTCAGTGTGTTTATGTAAGTGACCTCTTGTATATATTGTTTAGTAGCTGTGGAGCTCATTGAGAAAATGTATCCAGTGAAGTACCTTATCTATTTCTGCTACCAAGCAGTAATATGAGTATTACTACATTCTAGTTTTGAAGGGTAAGGGTGCTGCTACAGGCACATGGGAGTTGTCAACTTTAAGTCTCAGAGTGACGAGCGCAGTGGCAGTGCTTTTCCGATGTTTGCAAGTTAATTGAGTGACACTGCAACTGCTATGGAAGGTGTGTCGCTTACCACTACGCTGACGTCATGTTCGTCCACAACACAACACAAATTATAAAAAAGAAACCTAGTTTCATATGTCATGCGTGCTTGAATTAAACGCGGTTATAGTTATAAGCTTAGAATAATAACGCATAGAATGATAGTTTCATATCAAACGAATTGTCACAAGTGAGGCAAAAATCAAATTCATGTAGGCTAGTTTTAGTAGTAGGTTAATTTTCGGTTTTAGTGAATATTTATATAAAAATACAAGTTGAAACGCGTTACTTCCTTATGGAATGTGATGTTAGTGTCTATTTTATGTTTGTCTGACGTATTTTTACACTCATTTACCGCACATTTCGTCATTTTTAGCTAAATTTCTGGAGCTGTTCGCGGTGCAAGTTGACCTTGAGCACTGAAGGCCCGCCCGCTCGTGTAGGCCCATTGGGAGCGCTTCAATTTGCCTCACTTAGCGTGTGCGGATTAGGTTTCTATGCGTTATTATTCTAAGGTTATAAGGGTAAATTTTAATTATAATAATTGTAAAATGTAACTGACATCAAATTAATAATAACAAATTGAATAACGTCAAAATAAATATACGGATGTCAAAAATTAAGCAATGAAATTAAGGATTTATTTATTAAAAATTTTCGAATTTTTTTGTTGTAATTCTGTATTATTATAGGAAATGAAACTATTTTTCCGGATTTAAATCGCTTACATTTGTTTTTTCAAACAAACCGACTTTTCGGGCCCTTTACAGGTCCCATGGTCACGGTTGACATGGGTACTATCATCCCTTTAAAAATTGTCTATTCAATAAAATTTCACTTTGCTCCTACCTTAACCACGTACTTAATAATTTACATTTGTGATACTCTGGCTTTTGCAGGAGAATAGAACGTACAAATAGGGTATTTTTTTATTATAAATGAGAATCAGAACTTATGAACAACGTCCCCTTTTAGATTTTAATTGATCTCTACGCCAAATAACTATAAGAACGTTCAATTATACGGCCTAAACCCTCGCCTCAGAGGAGAGCCGTGTCCAGGAGTGGGACGAATAAATTGGTTGAAGTTAAGTAAACGTTATATATATATTTTTTTTCAGATGGTTATTTGTCGAGCACAGACAAAATGTAACTATGCAACGTAGAAACGCAGCTATGTTATCAAGAGGAACATTCAGCAGTGACCCAGTTGGCGAGGTAGACACCGATACAACAAAAGAAAAACTTATGCCGATAAGTTAGAAGAGATTTTAAAAATTCCTAATATTTAGTTACAAGTTAATCATTTTAAAGCGGAATAACTGCGCCTATTAGAATACATTGTAGACTATCATACTCTTCTATTTGGGAAGGTCATCCCGAGTGATGGCCATGCAAAAGTACCTGTTCAACACGCCTTTTTCTTTATTTTGGGTAGCGCCAAGTTTCCACCTGAAGTAGCTTTGGAATTGTTACTATAGCCAGAGCTCCTTAACTCGCTCAAGGTTTTTACCGACGTCGGCACAATCGCTCACACAAGTCTTTCATTTATAAGCATTCGGCTCTGAACGATTGCACTCGGCAGGCAACGTTATTTTCACCTCTCTGAGCGCGTGGTTAGGTTCCTTTTTCCTCGTAGTGAGTGCCTGGTGTCATTAGATTTAGTTGGCTATTATTGCGTAAGTATTTTCGATTTTGTATGAGAGTAATGTATCTGTTATGTAGCAACTATTAAGTAATCTGTGTTATAAATGTACGTATATTTTATATCGAGTCTTAGATGTACTGAAAATGAAACTATTTTTTCGGATCTAACTAACGTGTATTTGCTTTTTCAAACAAACCAAAATTCCGGTCTCTTTACAGGACCCATATATATATAATATTTACTCTGTGCTATGGCTATATATGCAAGAAAAAACTACGAGGTTCTATATATTATTCTGTAGGTAACTATTATTACTTAAATGTTTACACTAAGAAATATAATACAATTTAATGGTGTTTGTAAGCTAAGAAAGGTCTTAAAACCCCATTATCGTCCCTTAAAACAATATGGTAGTAAATCGTAATTTTCTAGAAAATTTATTAGACTATTTTTTTAACCGTTTCGTAATTCATTAGAGGAATCGAGATGCGCGATTGAAGCGTAAGCACTTCTGCAATAGTTTTATTTATTTAAACAATTTATTTATTGTTTAATTTGAATGCGCCCTAACACTTGATCCGTAATGTCAACTTCCAAGGTATGAAATACAATGCTGCACTTTAGAACTTTTCAAGACTAGACCAGTGTGTACCCACGTATGTTATTATAGAAACGTGCAACATCAGATGAGATGGCGACTAAGTGTTTCTCCATTTAAAAAATGCATAAATTTAGTTTTAGAAGGTCATCATCGGTCTCGGACGCAGCGAAATTTGTTTATTTACTTTCGAAATATTTATAGAAATAAGTATTGTTTTATACCAAGCCATATGATTGTTAAATAAAAAATATTTACAAATTACATCGTTTTATTGTAAATTTATGAATTAATTGTGCGTAGAAAAAACAATCAAGTTAACTTAGACTTAGTTCAGATGACATAAGGCTGCTAACAGATTGTTTGCAGTGAATGCGTGAAGTCGTAATCAACTTCATCAAAAGTTGATAACGACTTCTCGTATTAACTGCAAACACGCAGTAGTAGCAGTAGAGCTCCGTGTGAAAGAGTTCATCTAGGGTAGTAATGCCGTCTTACTTTACTGCCGCCAAGCAGTAATATCAGCATTACTGTGTTCCGGTTTTGAAGGACAAAGGTGCTGGTGAAATTACAGGCACATGGGACTTGTCAACTTATGTCTCAGGGTGACGGTCGCAGTGGTAGTGCCCCTCAGATCTTTGCAATTTAAAGCTCTGAGTGGCACTGTAACTGTTAAGAACAGGCATGTAGCTTACCATCAGGCGTATGACATATTCCTCCTGTCACTTGATTGTGTTACCAGCCTAAGATGACGCGCTTTTTGTAGAACAAGATACTAAACTGATATTTGTAAAAGAGACAGAGAGTGGTAAAGATGTAAAAAAATATAAAGCTGTTTCACTCTAACGTGAACAACATTATACTGTGCTGACAAGGATGTGTTGTCTTCCAAAATCATTTCACAGTTGACGCGTCATGTGACTCTAAAAGTGAACTTCGACACACGCTACTCTGAATTCTATGGTTTCGGATTTCCTCATATTGTCCCATTTCAAAAAACTATATATATATTATTTGTATATATATAGTTATTTATATTTTATATATATTATATTATATTTTATATACATTTTATTTATTTATATATTAGTCTCTTGTGAATGTAATTTCACCAATGCCCTTACCCTTCAAGACCAGAGCACAGTTATGCTGACATTACTGCTTGGCGGCAGAAATAGAAAAGGTGGTAGTACTTCCCTGAACGAACTATTCACAAGGAGCTCTTCTACATTGTCTCGGGTCTGGGTGTTTGTTGTTGTTTCCGATTTCCAACAAGTGCTTTAGTTACTTATTTTTGGATGAAAACAACGTAATATGATGTTGTCTAATAAAACAAAAAATAATAAAAAAAATTATACCATTTGATAACAACGCTCCTATGAACCAATGGCCAACTATACCAATATGTGTACCTAATCGAAGTCAAAAGGTCGAAGTCATTTTAGTTTTATTCCGAATCCAAGCCGTGATATTATGAGTATAAATAAGCAAAACCGAAATTCAAACAGGTCTGATTTTTCCTCCTTCTTCATCATCTTTTAAGCCGAAAGACGTCCACTGCTGAACCTATGTTCAGGCCTATGCCTATGCCTATGCCTCACCTAAAGAACATCATAACGGCCAGTCCTGTGTGCTGCTTGCATAACAGTATCAGCATCCAGTAACCTTCACCAAGGCCATCGGTCCACCTCGTGCGTGGTCTTAGTTACTTAATGTAGTCAGTGAAATATGGTTAATACGCTAAAAAATAATAATAGTTGTTGTTCCATGGGATATCTGCGATATGTGTGTCTAAAATATTTTAAATTCAGAACGCCTGGATTTAGTTATATGTTATTTTTTAAATTTGCTATAAAATTTTGCATTTAACAAATTTTCATCATTACATCCATAATATTTAAAAGCTTTTGCTAAGCTTCACTCGAAACCTCTAACCTCAAATGATCGTGAGACGGTTTGTATAGACATGGATTCATTAAATTCGACATCGAGTAAAATACCTGAATAATAACTTACATTATTGAAGGGATATTGTATCTACTTAATTTTTTTTTAAATTCGTTTTTTTGTAAACAAAAGCTGAAGACGCCAGTGTATTATTGTGGAGTTACAAACGAAAACAATTCCAGTTTTAAATACCAAACTCATTCGTTCATTCACTCAATTTAAAATACTTTAAAAAATATTCCGGGTTTTTTTTTTAAATACTAACAAACCTCGCAGGACAATATTACGAACATCATAAACAACAATTTTTGTTCCACGACTTTTTAATAAATCATCACATTTTACTTTTATACAAAAATAAAATTATTTAAATAGATTGCTCTAAGCAGTAACAACTCAGTGCAAAATGCAGGAGCGTGGGTGGAGGTTGTCAAGAGCACGCCAAGGATGCAACGGATGATCCGTCGATGCGTAGCTTGATGTACTGCCGTCTCTAAAATAAAAAACTTAAAAGTTTATTTTTGGTAAATTTATTGTGTATCTAATTCTTAGGTTTTCGCGATTGTTACACGTAGCAAATGAAACTATTTTTCCGAATTTAAATCGCGTATATTTGTTTTTTTCAAACAAACCAACGTTTCGTGAGTTAACCGTGACCATAGGACATGTAAAGGGCCCGAAACCTTGGTTTGTTTGAAAAAACCAAATATACACGATTTAAATCCGGAAAAATAATTTCATTTCGTATGTATTTATTGTGTTTTGTAAAAAGTCATCGAACAAAAGTTATTATCTATATGATGTTAAATAATTAGTAGTATACAATGCCGCAGGCCCCGTGTGAAACCACCAACAGTCGAGCGAAGACCTGCCATCTTACCTTACGTGAGAGGTGTCACAGACAAGATCGGAAAAGTCCTCAGGCGTGCATCTATCAAAACTTATTTCAAGCCCCTGAGGAAGATTTCTCTGTTCCTGAGACCCGTGATATGTAACATCCCCTTACAGGATGCAGGAGTTTACAAGCTTGACTGTGAGCGCGGTCTCTCTTATATTGGACAAACAAAGCGAAGTATTTCTACCCGCGTCAAAGAACATATAGCTGATGTCAAACACCGTCGCGTATACAAGTATGCAGTCAGCGAGCATGTCATGGATAAACCTACACATTCAATGAAGTTTGACTAACCCCAGGTCCTTGCAAAAGAAGTCCTTTATCTACCCAGGGTGCTGCGAGAGGCCATTGAAATTAAAAAAACATCCTAATTTCAACAGGCAAGATAGTTTCTCCGTACCACCAGTTTGGGATCCAGTATTTCCTCCAATGAAAAATCCCAAACAGACATGAAACTGCAGTACTAATTAATATGTTTTTTTTATTCTTATTTCTATTATTAATTACTAATAAATTGAACTTAATAAAAATTCATTCAATAAAATAATTTGTAAAACTTAATGTAGCGTAAATTGGAATGTTTTTTTTGTAAAATTAAAAATAAGGTATTTAATTAATAACTATTGTAACTATAAGTGATTAAATAGGGTGGTTGATGGTTTGATGGAAAAGTGGGTGGTTTGCATTAATATTAGACATAACTGGTTGAAGACTGTACCACCTCAGTCAACCGTGACCATGGGACCTGTAAAGGGCCCGAAACGTCGGCTTGTTTGAAAAAACAAATATACGCGATTTAAATCCGGAAAACTAGTGTCATTTCCTATTATACAAGCTGTTTAATGAATTGTTTAAATGACAAACTCTGTTATTGGCTAAGCAAGTTTGTAACTTAAAAATATAAAACGGATTTAAAAAGTTAAAGTTCAAATAAAATAAATAAATAAATACATTTTTCTTTCAGTTGCATTGTCATTTATCTTTTCGTGTAATATAATAATCGTCAACAACTGGAATAGCCTAAACCTCGACAGTACGCTCTTGATGATGTCTTATCGAAGAGCGTCATATTAATATCTCTGTAAATAATTAACTTAACAATCCACCACTATAAACATGGGCAAATAATAGATACAAATATAGACAGGCAACCTTAGAAAATTAAACGGTCTCAGTTATCATTTTATCAAGAACAGTCGTAACTCTTCGGTATGTAGTTAAATATTTTGTAATTTTGCTAAATCAAATTGACAAAACTCAAATAAACAAGATGGTAGCGACGGAGCGAAGACCTAGCACTGATAAACAAATAATAGATAATTTTCAACTAGAGCAAGGAGAAATTGATAACAAGGATGAAAAAGACAATACCACTGAACTGTCTCCTTTGAAACCATTAAAAGTTAAGAATAAAAGACAAGAGAATGAAACGAAGAAGAGACTTACATTCATGGAAAGGATTACATTAATTAAAAGAAACATAACAGTGGAACCTATCATGTTGTGTTACGTAATGCCAAGTGTATTAGCATCTTTGGCTACACAAAATTTGAATTTGGAAAAAGCATGCCGCGTCAATTTGAATTATTCTGATGAAGTTTGCACTGCACTCACCTTACGTCAGACAGAAAACTATACGGAATACGAAAGTAATGTCCAATTGCTTATAGCCAGTATACAAGGTTGGAAAAACGCTATGCAAACTACTATTCCAGCTATCCTGATTTTGTTTGTCGGTGCATGGAGTGACAAAACTGGAAAACGGAAAGCTTGTATCATGTTGCCTATTTTTGGAGAATTCCTTACTTGTATAGGTTTCCTGTTTAATACATACTTCTTTTATGAGTTACCAGCGGAAATGGCTGCTTTAACAGAGTCATTATTTCCAGCTATAACAGGCGGATATTTCACTAATTTCGTCGGAGTATTTAGCTACATTGGGGATATCACTACAACTGAAGAAAGAACTTTTAGGGTTGGCATAGTAAACCTCTGCATGATGTTGGGATATCCCCTTGGAAGTGCTTTGAGTGGAGTTCTGTTGTCAGCAATCGGTTATTATGGAGTGTATTCTCTATCAGCATCTTTGTATTTTTTAAGTTTAATATACGGGTACTACACGTTGAAAGATGTTAAAAAGAAACCATCTGATCCGAACGTAAGTTCTACATCCACTATTTAGTTATAATCAGCTCACAGGTATCTACTGCTCGATATAAGCCTCCCCTTAAGCACGCTAATTCTCCCGGTCCTGTGCCGCCAGCAACCAGCCACTGACACTGATACTACATTTTCTTTGACGTAGTCGTCACTCTAAAACAAGTGTACTCCATCGGCCATCTGCCCTTCTACAGATATATCTGGTCCAATGCCACTTAAGCCTACTGATTTTGCGAGCTATGTGAGTCACTTTCGTTTTCTGACGGATGACATTATTAGCGATTCGATCTACAGAGAAAACCCAAGCACAGCTCGCTCTTTTACTTAATTTTTTTTTTTTTAATTTCAAGTGACGGGAAGACCAAGTCGTGGGCCTGGTAATAAGTCACACGCCTGTCCATAATACTTGCAGTGCCACTCAGAGCTGTAAGTCGCAAAGATCTGAAGGGCACTGCCACTGCGACGTAAGTTGACAAATCCCATGTGCCTGAAATTTCACCAGCACCCTTACCCTTCAAGATCAGAACACAGTAATTCTGACATTACTTGGCGGCAGAAATAGGTAAGGTGGCAGTACTTCACTGGACTAACTCTTTCACAAGGAGCTCTACAGCTACTAAAATTTGTGGATAAAGCCTGTTGCTAATGTCCACGTTTCGGCTCCGTAGGACATAACTATTTAAATGCCTTTGTTTTTAGACTTTGTGGGATTAACGACCTCAAAATGTGGGTAAGTTACTACAATATCCGCCAATTTAGCGATTTCAATTTTTCACTAAGTTATTATATTTTTTTGTTTTTTAGAGCAAAGGCGGGTGCATAGGATTTGTCAAAGAGTTCTTCAATACAAAGTTGGTGCTCGAAACATTCAATGTCGCCTTCAAAAAAGGTCCTGGAAATAGAAGAAAGAGAGTTGTGTTCCTGCTAATCGGCGTTTTTGTTGTTTTTGGACCTATGATTGGTATGTAGGCAAAACCTTCTAGACCTGTAATAATCCACAATGTACTTCCAATTTACAACATAACGAATCATCATAATCATTCAGCCATACGACGCCCACTGCTGGGCATAGGCCTTCTCCAGCGATCTCCACGACGATCGGTCCTGCGCTGCCCTCATCCATCGGCTTCCCGCGACCACCACCAGATCGTCGGTCTACCTGGTGGGGGGACTACCCACTGAGCGTCGTCCGGTGCGCGGTCGCCATTGAAGAACCATTCCCCCCCAACGGCCATCGGTTCTCCTAGCTATGTGCCCCGCCCACTGCCACTTCACACAGGGAAATACCGAGCATCGTTCTCTCCATTGCCCGCTGAGTGACCTTGAACCTTCTTATGAGGCCCATAATGAGGACCACGTTTCTGATCCATATGTATATGAATGATCCTATATAGATGTGAAAACATAATCTTTAATTCAATGCCAATATAGATTGACCTTTCAATGTACATAATTTATCTCCAAAGCGAATTTACAAGCTACGAATGAAGCCGTGGTAGCCTAATGGTTTGACCTACTGCCTCTTAAGCAGAGGGTCGAAGGTTCGAATCCGGGCTCGCACCTCTGAGTTTCTCAGAGTTTGTGTGCGAAATTTAATTTGAAATTTATCACGAGCTTTTCGGTCAAGGGAAAACATCGTGATGAACCTGCACATTGAAGAAGGTTGAAGGTGGGGAATCCTCGGAAAACGTGTAAATGGCCTGAACCCTCGTCTGAAAGGAGACCCGTGCGGCAGTGGGTCGTATAAAAGGGTTGATGATGATGATTATCAATCTCACTTTTCAGAATAATAAAATTCAGTTATTTGTCGCGTTTAGTCGCAGTAAAATTTTTCCTATCCACTTTCGGTTCTATACAAATTGTTTTATATTTTTACACCTTTGTATTTTTTTCAGGGGAATACACTGTATCATATCTTTTTACTAGATATAGATTCAACTGGGACGAAATACAGTACAGTATATGGTCTACATATAGTATGTTCACCAACTTACTTGGTACGTATCGAGTTCGTAGGCTTTTGCGATTGATATTTGTTTTTTCCAAGAAACCAATCTTTCGGGCCCTTTACTGGTCCTATGTTCATGGCTGGCATTGACATGGTCAGCCGACTTAAAAAAGTTACAAAATTGTGAACTATAATTGCAGAAGTTATTAATTTAAATTCTATATTTTTGATTTACCAAAGTACATTCCAATTTACCTTAAGTACGGATTGCACAATATTTTAACTAGGTATTCGGATTTTTAATAAATAAAATATTAGAAAGATTAAAATAATAATGTCCACCGTACAATGGTTCAAATATTTTAATTTCTTAACAAAAGTTTTTAACTGGTTACTAAGGACAGTTAAAAAGTTTGTACGAAACAATTTGATATATAAGCACTTAGAGGCTTGGAAACAAATTGTAAAGAAAAACAACGAATGTCTTTTTTTTATATATTTTCTATACAATCCAGTATCTTTAATTTTAGATTCTTCTCCTTCTTATCGTATCGATGATATGCACTGTAATGGTTGCCACCTTGATGAAAGTATTAGCCAATCAACGTAAGGTACTCGCCGACTGTTGCCCAAAGTGCACCAGATCACAGAGTACTTAATAGTTACTGCGTAACAGACAACATCGCTCTCATACAAAAACGAAAATACCTACGATATAATAGCCTACTAATAGCCTACGGTATAGTTGCCCGCCGTGCGCAGTCGTGCGGAACCAAATGCAGGGGTTGTACAATTGTAATGTAAATAAAAGACTTGTCTAAGCGCTTGCACTGTCGGTGATACACTCTGTGGTAGGCACTTATCACGTAAACTCGAGCGTTGGAGCCCTGGCCAGACGTACAGGGAAAGAAATGTACATACGTCGTGCGGGGAAAATTCAATCATGCATTACTATTACAACTACACATTTATTTATTTAATAACCATTTATTTCAGGTACTGTATTTTCAGTAAGTTTATTCAGTAACTACTTAAAACTTGACGACTCTATATTAGGGATCATTTCTAATTCGAGTAAGATCGTAGCCTGCTTCGCTTATGCTTTCGCCAGGAATAATTTGGAAATTTATCTAGGTAAGTTTATAAGATTTCTTAAACTGCACATGTATTAAAAGTTGTTTAATTCCAAGATGGGCTATGGCGCTATACATCTCAGCTATCTTAAGAATATAAAGTGATTGCACTTTGTTTCGCATATCGTTGAAAGGTATTATTGCAAATTACGACGTTTTGATTTCATAATTAAATTTAAATTAATGTGCTGCCATCTAGCTGTTAATAGCTGAATGACGACGAATTCGGGATGTTTACTTAGTTCTCTAAAAAAGAAATATTCATATTGCTGCGGTATAAGATTTACTTCTAGTAACAAAAAAATATATTAGGATAGGAACAGAAAATTGAAAATGTATTAAAATTAAATAAAATAAGACTTAACGATAATATGAAACAGCATCATAGACAATATTTCAAGTTCGACCATCATTTTCGCACACCAAAGTAGCAAAATAGGCATATTTTTCGAAGTTTTACGCGAAATAATTGACACAACCTTAATGTACAAAGCTAAAATGACGGACTGTGCTTATGTATGTGGAACTTCGCGTATTTTTGGCACACGTGTCACGCAAAGAAAGAACTTCTACAGTATTTTGCTTAGCGCCCGCTGCGCACCTTGTATGTATTGTCAACACTATGCTACGCTAGTGCATCATATAGCATGGGTACGGTGACTTACTTGGTACTTGGTACTTGGTGTAACGGGCTGGTGTCCGCAACTCGACTCGTGCAGGGTCCTACTCGTGCCACCCAAGCTCCTCCAGGAATCTCAGCAGCCTCCTCGGTTTGCTGAAGACTTCGGGGAGCGACCTTGGCACTCCAAGGTACTTTGCCCTGTAGTTGGCCACGTCGGAGCACTGTAGTAGGATGTGCGCAGCCGTTTCCTCCCCCTCCATGCACGCTCTGCATAGAGGGCTGTCTGTGATACCTAAATTGAAAAGGTGTTTATTGTATGGACCATGACCTGTTAGGGCGGCAGTTAGAGTGCGAAGCTCTTGCCTGTTGAGTTTAATTAATATTCGTGATAGACTGGCATTGAGCGTTGGGAGTGCTTCCCTCGCCTGTCTACAAACCGTAAGGGTGGTCCATGTGTTATTATGTGAAGTTTTTTTTTTGGGTACGGTGACGTTTGAGATTTGAAATTTCTTGTGATGTAAAGTCGAATGAAACAAAAATCTATTTAAATATCTTATCGAGATGTTTGTTACGAAAAGAGCATCGATTTAGAGACAATAGTTTAAGAACAAATAATAAACAAAATAAAAAGGACTCAATTATTATTTATTAAGTTACTAAAAAACTACACCAAAAATAAACAGTCGACAACAACCAAACGAAATTTGTACAGTTACTCCGAAAACATCATGCAAAGCTCAAAACAAAAGAAAAGGACCGCGTTTAAGGTGTACCTGTGCACACGTATTGACGCAAAATACACAATAGCTGATTCGTTTTATCGATTCTATGTTGTAAGTCTCTATGGACAAATATTCCGTTTTACGCATCAAGTAGTTGGGGCAATTTATTTTTATCTTTATAATTTCAGTTTCTGGTTACTTTCTATAAAGCAATTGTTACTTAAATTTACAATTGAAACAAATATTGTTTCTTTTTTATATATTATAACAAATTTCTTATTGTAACCTATTGTGAGAGTAATTCAAAATAGTATACATACGACGTAGTAACCATCCTATGTGAAATGGACTATAATGTAATGCATGCGCCGGTCGCGCATACATGTAAACCGCGCTTTTACGTTTGTATGGAGATTTGTCCTCACAGAACAATAAATACAATGCGGTTAGTTAGCGTCTGACGCGTACCAACTATAGGTCTCGAAAAACCTAACTGAGCTCAGACCGCCATTTTCGCTTTGTGTGGTATGGTTGTGTCGTTCTTCCGTGCAAATTCTCTAAAATCCTAGAAAATTGCCTTATTAGCCTGTTTTGGAGTGCAAAAACGATAACCGCATCAAAAAAAAAAATTATCCGTGGTGGTATTTCATATCATCGGAAAGACTTATTTTAATAAATTTTCAAGTTTCTGTTAATTAAAATATTTTTTGTTACGATAAACAAAAGTAAAGCTTATTCCTCTGCAATATGGTCGCTTTTTTAGTGGAAAACTAAATTAATAACTCCAATTCGTCGTCTTTCAGCAATTAACCGCTAGATGTACATTGTTTGAAATTTAAATATAATTGAAAATTATAATGACAGTTACGTCCTGGAGTTTGCTACCGTCTACCATATTAGTTTTATAATAATATATACATGAATTCTGACCATGGATAGGGAAGGTACTGTCTCCCAAGATACAGGTTCGCCTAGCTTGGGAGATAAGGCGATAATGTATATGTACCTGTTCTTGTATCAATAAATATTTCATTTAATATGTCATTTTATTTCATTTCAATATCAAAACGTCGTAACTTGCAATAATAGGTATTGATGATATCGAACTTTCAACGATGTGCCAACAGGGTAAAGTTTAAATTGTATTAACAATACAGAATTTAAATTTTTCATGAATTGATATTCAATTATTTTTGTGTGAAATTACTCCACTACTTTGTTATAATTATTAATACAAACATCGAACACTCTAGAAAAATTACTTCGATCCGGCCAGATTCAAACCGACGTCTTCTAGCCGTAGCGCTATCTATGAGAAATCTATGATATTTCGTCACCCAGTTAGTTACTTTTACAGCTACCAGCCCTGGCTAGAGATGTCCGGCATAAAAGTCGTTAAAAAACCAAATACAAAGATACGACGCAAGCACATAGAAAAATTCGTGAGGTCCGCTGGTTCGTTCCGAGGCTTATAGTTGGTACAGCGTCAGGCTACAAAACGTCGTTTCGAATACGGCCGGATCGAACGAATTTTTTCTGAGTTCGATCTTTGTATTAATAATCCAGAATTTGTTATTTATTTTTAAATTTGGAACGACCAATGTCAAGTTTTTGTAGCGTTTCAAATGAAGAATGTCTAAGTTTTGACGACAACGGTTCTCATAGTAATCGAGGCTTAAGACACATTTTTTTTTTTATACCGCTCTTAACCATCGATACAAACAGACCAAGGACCGTACTAGCTCGATCTTAAACCAATGCCCTTACACCAAAGTTAGTTATTTATTATAAACCCAAACTCCGCATATGAGTTACAATTTAATTCATTAGCGTCCGTGAATACAAAAGCGGTGTACTGGATATCGTAACTTGGTACAAACTGCGAAGTTTCGGCCGCCAGTTTACGACTCCTAGTTAGCCCAACTATAATAACTGTAGTAATCCACAGTTAGATATTTTAGCCTTATTAAACTATCCGTTTGCAGAAATAGTACCTGTGTTAAGTTTAGCTTTGTGAAGTTGTTCAATGCAATCGAAGATAGATTTTATTGTCTGTATTTTTTGAAAATGGAGTTGAATGACAGTTCATTGCGCAAAAGTGTTGCCCGTTTGCAAGTAGCTAGTGATTGCTGTTGATAAATATTATATCGACTATCGACTGAATGTTGCTTACGTAATAAATATCCGAATTTGTATTAATATTATTCATCCAACTGCTGAGCACAAGTTCAATTAAATTGTTAATTTAAAAAAATTCATACCTAACATACACCAAATTTAGAAATATGTTTATTAAAAATACAAATAGAAAACATATTTTATAGTTTTCCGTTTTAATTTATAATAATAATAATAATAATAGACATTTATTTCAGGCATAAAAAACCCATATACAACAAAATCCGTAAATATAAATAATAATAATAATAATAATACGGTACATACTTAGCAGATAAAACTTTATTCCAAATTTTATCATTGGAACAAAAAAAACAAAAATATAAAATAAAATAAACTAGCCATCGTCTAATGTTGTCTGTGCAGTGCACGATAATCCAGCACCGAAAAATATAACCGGTTACCTACGTCCTCCACTAGAACACTCAATATTGAGTTCTTGCTATCTCACAGGCGAGCCCAAAATGAGACAATACGAGTTCTGACGATGACATAGAAATCGGGTACATCCACCCCAGCTAACACGCCCGACGCACTGCAGAAGCGAGGCAATTTCATTAGAATTCTGAAGGCGTTATTGTACTGAACTCGCAATGTGTTGTAAGTGCGTTTTGTATAGCAACACCAAAGATGGCACGTATAAAAAAAACTTATACATAATCAAATCCGCTTGTCGTTATTAAAATGCGAGTGACTAATAATTTATTTCGATTCTAGTACACGAACTATCAAAATAGGAATAAAGTATACAATAACGCAATTAGTAATTGTTAAAACGTCGTAACATTGACAATTCAGACATTTTTGGCAAAATTTTATCTACTTTCACAATCTATCGATAAAATTATCGACAACAACTACATGACTATCTAAAACTGTACGAATACTGGTAACCCTGTAAATGTCATTTTACTCCATCTTCGAAAAAGACAGACTATAGATTGACATCGCTGAACGAACAACCCGCAAACTTTTTCACTGCCTTGTTCGTGCCCATTGAAATTTATTTAAAAATCAAACCACGACGAGTGTAATTAGATATGCTCGCAATGGGTTTAGCAATCATAGTAGCCGTAGAGCTCCTTACGAAAAAGTTCATCCAGGAAAGTATTGCCATATTTCTGTTCTGCCACCCTGTTTCTGGCTTGAGAGTAGTGACCCGGCCTTTGAGTCAAGTTTCGATAGCCTATGTTATCCCACTATAGCACCAAGTATAATGTAATTTGAAATATTGACACTTTATTATTTACGAATGCTCTGTTCCAGCACCTCTGCTTGAGATTCTGAATGGAACATCGTATATAGCATTACGATCGATAGCTTCAAAATTAGTCAGTGGCGATGAATTTGGTGAGTATGAAGACCATTAAAATAAACAACAAATCCGAAAGAAAGCATGAGCATATTACCTTATCTTTTTTCGTATGACTTCTTATAGTGACTTCCTATTCTCTTCCCTATTGTAACACATATTAAGATTGCTTGCTATAAGGCAAACCTTTTATAAACCTTTTTTATTTCAGGCAAAGTTAACTCTCTCCTCGGTTTTGCTGAGGCGATATTGCCTTCGGTGTACGGGCCTCTCTACTCCAGAGTTTATATGGCAACCCTTGATATTCTGCCTGGTGCTGTGTTCCTAATGGGAGGCGCTCTTACACTGCCTTCTTTTGCTATATTTGGGTAAGGCTACTTTGTCTCAGTCTTCAATAGTTCCACATAAAAAAAATGCGTAGCCTTTATATCAAAGTTCCATTATTCGGTTTTCAAATTTCCAATGTATTGTTATAAGTGTTTTGGTAAAACGAAGTCGACAGTAAGTACCAGATATAACAAGTTATGATGATGATGATTTCTTCAACATAATTTATTTGTTTTACAGGTGGCTGTATTGTGAGCATAAGAAAGACAAGTTAAGAGAAGAGGCATCCAAAGTTGACGCTGAGAAACAGCCAACTATTTAGTAAAAAACATTACTACGTCTTATAGCGCTTACTATTGCATCTGTAGTTTTTGTTTAAGCAATAATTAGGATATATTTATTTGATCACTACTAAACGGAAGGATCTGCAGAAAATGCTGAACAGCCTTAATGCTGCCTCATTAGCGGTCGGTATTCGGGTGAATTTGGACAAGACTAAGGTCTTGTTCAATGAGCTCGTCATCCCGGAGCCGATCTCAATTAATGGCGAAACGTTCGAAGTTGTCCGAGAATATGTCTCCTCGGGCAAACCCTGCAACTAGGTAGAGACAACTTCGAGCGTGAAATAGCTAGGAGAGTGCAGCTGGGTTAGGCAGCATTTGGGAAACTGCGTCGTGTCTCCTCGTCACCACTCCCGCAGGGCCTGAAGACCAGTGTTTACAACCAACGCGTCCTACTGATCATGACTTACGGAGCCGAGACGTGGCATATGTCGGTCAAACTGACTCACAGACTACACGTCGCTCAGCGAGCTATGGAAAGATCTATGTTGGGTATCTCGTTAAGGAACAAAGTCCGAAACGAAGTTATCGGCATAAGACTAAAGTTGTGGACATCGTCCAGAAATATAGCAAGCTCAGTGGCAGTAGCCTGGCCACATCTGTCGCAGAACCGATGAGCGACGGGCTCTCGAGTGGAGACCACGTCTCGGCAAACGTAACATAGGACGGCCCCCTGCAAGATGGACCGACGATCTGAAGAAGGTCGCGGGAAGTTGTTAGATGCGGAAAACGGGTGATCGGGCACTATGACGTACACTTGAGGCTTATGTCCAGTAATGGTCTGCAACAGGCTGATTGATTGATTGAAACGGAAGTACATATAAGAAGTGCTTTAGGTACGAAGTAGTTCCCGTGGTGAAGCAGAGAACTGTCGAACGAATACTTTGTGAGCAAAGAGAGAGTACTATCATAATAATGTAAAAGTTACGACGCACAAAATTAAATAAATAACTCAAGTAACTATGTAACAAAAGCAAAAAGTAAACGTTATTATCTTTATAAACAGATAAGAAAGTCCTGTTGTTAAACTAATCTATTTAATAAACCACAATCTTTTATCGTAAACTTAATGTTTTAAATCTTTATTATGCCGTCTTGGTTCTTGGAAAATGAACTTACCTCTGCGAATTTATAAAACATATTTAGAAAATACAAATGGATGAATGGTGCCTCGTTTTCAGGCCAAGTATCATATAAATCGCTATCCTGTAAATTGCTTAAATTATGATATTTAAACCTTTCCTTATTTTATAATGATCATTATCATTAGTAGGAACAGATAACTCTATTTGTGAAAGAGTTATTAGTTAAGCATGGCTATTTCAGCCACCAATCAGTCTTCGTCTTTTCATATCTATAGCATACACTATAATGCTTGCCATCGTGGTAAAAGTAATAACAGTAATCTCAGCAACTGTTACCACACGCACCAACCTGGACGACTTATTTGTCCTGCCACTTGGTAACATAAAAAAATTGATTATCAATTAATTTATTTTGTATGGACATTTATATTGTTAAGTAAAGTCTTTACTTATATTGCTAACTTACTGTTTTGTGATAATGTATTTTTAAGACAATTGTACTGTTCTCAATATAAAGAAATTTGTATAAGCTTGTCCCTGGATTTTTTTTAAATTTACATTTACATTATAATCGTAATGCAAGTAATACGAGTTTAACAGCGTCTATAGCGTAATAAGAAATTTGATTGTCCTTTGATTTCAAAACTCGCGCAAAGGACGAAATCATTGTTAATTATTAAGTACCTACTAAAGTAGGCTAAGAGCATATAATAAATACAAGTAAGGTAACTCCATATAAGGACCATTCTCATTTCAGCATTTTTTTGTGGCTATGTATTAAAAAAAACGATATACATGTATTACTTAATCAATTCCTACTTAAAATTAATCGAGGTAGTTTATATTATTATGATTTTTATTTATATTTACACAATATAAATATTTATTTAAGACATCATTAAGAAAGTGACGAAAATGTCACTTCCATGTCGTGTGCAAAGTCCATTTACAAATGATACAAATTAAAATTAAATGTATTTATCTGTAATAAATAAACTAATCTATAATATGTTATAATTATTAATACAAAGATCGAACACTCACTAAATTCCTTCGATCCGGTCGGATTCGAATCGACGTCTTCTTGCATACCGTGCCAGACGCTATACCAACTAAGCCACGGAACGAACCAACGGACCTCACGAATTTTTCTATGTGCTTGCGTCGTGTCTTTGTACTTGGTCTTTCAACGACTTTTTAGTCGTAGCGCCATCTATGAGAAATCTTTAACAGATTTATCACCCAGTTAGTACCTTTACAGCTACCAGTCCTGGCGAGAGATGTCGCTATTCACTGTATTAATTAAATTGTTATTGAATTGATATTCAATCATTTTTTGTGAAATTACTTCACTAGTTTGTTATAATTATTAATACAAAGATCGAACACTCAGAAAAAATCCCTTCGATCCGGTCGGATTCGAACCGACGTCTTCTTGCATACCGTGCCAGCGGCCGCTATACCAACTAAGCCACGGAACGAACCAACGGACCTCACGAATTTTTCTATGTGCTTGCGTCGTGTCTTTGTACTTGGTCTTTCAACGACTTTTCAACAACTAGTGGAGTAATTTCACAAAAAAATAATTGAATATCAATTCAATAAAAATTAAATTAATCTATAATATTTTACGATAATACATACAATAAACTGTCTAATAAAACACAAAATAATTGCAACATAAAAAAATAATCCATTCAAAATATTTCATAACGTTTGTGCATGAAAAAATGGTCACCTCCATGCATAAACTTATTGAACGCAGTTTATGAACAATTACAGACAACTTTATAGGATCGAAAAAAATAAATAGTCTAAGCAGATAACAAACACAATGCCATCTTAAGAGTTTTTGAGTTTGCCACTTCCAGAATAATAGTTTTGGCGCACTGACCGTACCTTATAGATACGATTTTTCAAAAAAATAACCTGCTAATGCCATGGAGGTGATACAATTTCGATGGATTTGTGTCACTTCCGTGGAAATGTTTTTTTTTTCCTTTTTTTCATGAAAACTACAGTGATAATAGGTTCTTAAGTAAAACATATTGTAGGATACGGTACCTTTCATTTGGGACTATTTTGAATCATATCAGAAAACATTGTTTTTTTTTTATTATTTTAAGTCCGTTTTTGAGAATGGCCCATAAACGTAGCAGCGTGGCTTATACGTGTGCGCGCCCGCGTTGCACAGCGCTGCTCGTGACACGCGCCTTTTAATAGGCACAAATACAAGCTACACTGCTGCTTCTATGGAATTACAGTATTTGTATATTTATACAATGATGTAACTGTATCAGAATAAACCGTTCATAATTTTGCCTCACACGATGCGACGACGACAATACGGCGCAGTCACATCGCCACTTTAGGTGATCAGGCGAAATTGTGGTCAAGCGTGCGCCGGTTGTCCAAAGAAAAAGTCTACACGTAAATTCGAAAAACACAACTGAAACTCATTAAATATCAAATTCTACAGCTTGACAAATTGCTGTCGAGGCTTGTAAGGTGCACGAATAAAGCCTCCCCGCAAGCTTACGTCCCACACTGTCTCCTCAGCTTCCATGGACCGATAGTTGTACCGATTACCGTCACTGTGGTATCGCACAAAGATCGAACACAAATAAAAATTCCTTCGATCGGGCTGGACGAACTGGATCGAACCAGCGACCTCGCCATACCGTGGCTGACGCTCTCCCAACTGAGCTACGGAACGGATACGAATACGGATCTATGTTTTTTATTTTTAACGATTTCTCGAGAATCTGTGAAAAATCTTTTAAAATTTTTCCTCATTCCGTCAGGTACCTTTACTTTCTTTTCATGTTAATTTTTGTAACAAGAACCATTAAAAAGAAAAATAGTTCAACGATTCTTTTCTTTACCCGTTGTAAACGCACACTTGAGGCTAGACTAATTCAATTCCTATAAGGGCCGTCTGGCAGCAAGTGCAGAATTAATGGGGTTCCTCGTTAACGCCTGACATATACGCTGTTTCGTCTGCTACATGATGCAGGATTAAATAACATACGCTAAATTGGAATTCATCTAAATAAAAAAACCTTACGAAATCATTTACAGTTTCCTCAATAATAAAGTCGTGTGCCTAGTGGTAAGCGTCACACCTGTCCGTAACAGTTGCAGCGTCACTCAAAGCTTTGAATCACAAAGATTGGAGGGGCGCTCGCTGCCACTATTAGAGCTCCTTGTGAAAGAGTTCGTCCAGGGAAGTACTGCCACCTTACCTAAATCTGCCGCCAAGCAGTAATGTGAACATTACTGCGTTCCGGTTTCAAAGGGTAAGGGTGCTGGTAAAATTACAGGCACATGAGACTTATCAACTTTTGTCTCAGAGTGTCGGGCGCAGAAGCAGTGCCCCTCAGATCTTTGTGATTCAAAGCTCTGAGTAATACTGCAACTGTTAAGGACAGGCGTGACGCTTACCACCAGGCACACGACTTGTTCGTCCCGTCACTTGAAATTTAAAAAAAATTAAAGTCGCTCAACGTGTGATGGAGCGAGCTGTGCTTGGGTTTTCTCTGATGGACCGAATCACTAATGATGTCATACGTCAGAAAACGAAAGTGACTGGCATAACTCGCAAAATCAGTAAGCTTAAATGGCATTGGGCCGAACATATCTCTAGAAGGGCGGATGGCCGATGGAGTGCACTTGTTTTAGAGTGACGACTACGTCAGGGAAAATGTAGTGCTGGACGCCCTGCGGCGAGGTGGACGGACGACCTGAGAAAGGTGGCCGGCAGTGGCTGGATGCGGGCGGCAAATGACTGGGCGAATTGGGGTGATAAAGGGGAGGCTTATATCCAGCAGTAGATACCTGTAAGCAAATGTAATTTAAAGCTCTGAGTGGCACGACTTGTTCGTCCCATCACTTGATGTTATAAAAAAAAAGTTCTCCGTCTCACATCCGTCCGAAACAATTACTGCCAAATAGGTAATGCTCGACGAAATTAAAAGAAATATGATAATGCTAATGAAGCTTCATACAAGTATGAAGACAATGTCAAGACTATGTCGTTTAATCTGCTCGAGTATTATTTATTTGACTGATTGTTTCGGACGAATGTCAGACGAAGAACTTGAATACAGTGTCAGATGTATACTTACCTTCAAGTAATTTAAAGCAGGCAAACATTGTAATGAAACTTGCGCGTCGATGAAGTTTCACAATCCTCTGAAAACGTGTGATATTCCCAATTAGTAGGCGGACTATGGCCTAAACTCTTGCCTGAGAGGAGACCCGTGCCCAGCAGTGGGACGTATAAATGTTTTTTTTATGTAACACCAAGTGATGGGACGAATGTCGTACGCCTATGTGATAAGCGACACACCTATCCGTAACAGTTGCAGTGCTACTCAAAGCTTTAACTGCCAAAGATCTTAGGCTCAATTTATATTACAGCGGAACGAAATGGAAGCGAATTTTTGTAACGATATTGTACATTACATAATGAACTTTATGGTTCAATCGTTTATCATACAAACTAGTTACGAGCTAAAATCGTCCGCGGAATGCGCGAGCATACATTAGTACGTTATAGTTTGTACATGGTAAATTGCAACCATAAAGTTTATTGTGCCATGTACAATATATTTTTCATTCGCTTCCATTCCGTTCCGCCGTAATGTAAATTGAGCCTTAAGCGTAATGCCACTGCGCCCGTCACCCTGAGACATAAGTTGACAAGCCTCATGCTTAATCTGTAATTTCACCAGCACCCTTACCCTTCAAACCCGGAACGCAGTAATGCTCACATTATTGCTACAGACATAGGTAAAGTGGCAGTACTTCCCTGGACGAACTCTTTCACAAGCAGAGCTAAAAGAAACGAAAGAAAAGAAATGCTCTCAACAAGACTACCATAACTTTCTCTCTACCTTTTATTAAAACTCCATCTTATATGACCTGCGCATAAAGACTACACGGTACTAAAATAATACAGTAACACCCCGTGTTGTAAATTTCGTCGAGCTTTCATCATTATCGCTCCCTTTTAATTACGTTAAATGAATAAGCGAAAATTACCTTTTGTGTTATCCCCATCCCTTTATGCGTGCGGCTCGTACGTATCTTAATGAGGTTTTCAAATTTTAAAGGCTGTTTTGAAAATAATTAACGATCTTAGTTGAATGGCGGGCTTTGTTGATCCGTCATCGTCGAATCTTGTCGCGGTATCAGATACTTAACGGGATTTTGGTAGCCTTTTTCAGACAAAAGCATAAGACGAACAAAAATGGCTGAGATTGAAAATCATTGAAGCATTGATTGTTGATGCTGTTTGGGTGCAATATAATTAATTCCCCATTCTGCAATGCATTCAAAAT